ATTCTATCTCCAAATAAGATCATATTCTGAGGACTGGAGTTAGGACTTAAACATACACTTTTTTTTTTTGGGGGGGGTGAACACAATTCAACTCACAACCTTTAATAACCATTGTCTCACTGTCCTTTATGCTTTCACTTGTGCTCATTTTAGCTCCTGCCCACTCCCTGTCCAAAGCCAATACAATACATACCTATCTATATATATATATAAAAGCCTAAGCGACTGTTATGACCAAATGACCAGAACGACTAGTTGACCAGTCGCTATGACGTGCACTGACCACCAGGGGGCAGATGCTCAACACAAAAGCTGCCCCTGGTGGTCGGTGCACTCCCACAGCCAACCTCCCACATCCAGCCAACCTCCTCCCCAGTCCCTCCCCCCCTCGCCTGGCAAACCTTCTATAGTCCCTCCTCCCATTCAGCAGGCCCCATCTGGCAGGCTCCACCTGCCAGCCAGTAGGCCCTGGCCTGCAGCTGACAGGCCCTGACCAGTCCAGCTCCAATTGGGACTGGGCAAGATGGCCCTGATAACCAGCCAGGACTAGGGACCCCATCATGCACCAGGCCTCATATATATATCTGATATATCTTTCTATATCTATATCTATAATATATCTATATCTATATCTATATCTATATCTATATCTATATCTATATCTATATCTATACCTATATCTCCTCTATAATAAAAGGCTAATATGCAAATTGTCCCTTTGGCTGAGAGTTTGACTGGGAGTTCAACTGTGAGTTGGATCAGGGGGCAGGGTTTAACTGGGAATTTGACTAGGGGGCAGGGCCGGCCTGCCAACTCCCGAGGTCCCCCACCTCGATTGGGGCAGGCTGGCCAGACCCCACCTGTGCACAAACTTGTGCACCGGGCCTCTAGAATATACATGCAGCTGTATCTAACTTCACCAATGCCAATATCAGGGGCTGAACAGGGAAACAGCCCCACTGTGGAATACAGGATTTATTATAGGGATTACATGCATCACAACTGCAGAAGAAGCTAAGGAAGAAAAGCTCTGAAAGGAGATAGCTGGAGGATGAGAGAAAATAATTAACCGGGGATCACAAAGAAAGCTTCGGAAAATGTCTTTGAAAGTCTGTGCTACCTCTGCATCCAGTAATGGGCCTGAAATTGATAATTCATCATGGCTAGCAGTCAGGAAGAAAAGTTGAATCGACTTGGGGGAGAGTGAGGATAAACTAGAATCCACAAGGACAAACTGGAACCCATGAGGACAAAGGGAACCCCTAGCTATCACGTTGTAACGCAGGTAGTCTGCAGAAGTTGACGTCTTTTCCCCAGAAGTTGATGTGTGCCTTGCCCAGAGTTTGGAGAAGATGAAATAGGAGATGTGATAGGAGCTGGAGGAATCGGGGTCTGGCTGCTGCTCTGCCAGCAGATCAGTAACAAACTTATATAGTTTGATCCTATATCAACCATTCAGAGCACAAGGGTGGTTTTACTTGTTCCTTCTAAATCTTATCAAGCTTCTCTTGTGGCCAATTCTATCCTGGAACCAGAATGAAATTTTGGAAGCTAAATTTCAGCTTAGCTAAATTGATAGAGCACAAAACTTCCACATCAGTCAAACCTCAAAAGTTGCCAGATACCATGGTGCTGTGTCTCACATACATTCGTTTTTCATTTAAGCCTCAGAGCAGTTTCTTAAGATAAATATTAGCACCCCCATTTTACATATTAGGAAATGAAGCCCGGTATTTGCTCGTAGAGAAGCAAATGGTGGAGCCTGGATTCTGTGTGATAGCCAGCTCCAAGATGGCCTTGGGATATTTAAAACATATTATTTTTATTTATTTAAGAGAGGCAAGGAGAGAGAGAGAGAGAGAGAGAGAGAGAGAGAGAGAGAGAGAGAGAGAGAGAGAGAGAGAGAAGAATATCAATGATGAGAGAGAATCATTGGTTGGCTGCCTCCTTGCACCCCTCACTGGGGATGGAGCCTGCAACTTGGGCATGTGCCCCGGCTGGGAAATCGAACCGTGACCTCCTGGTTGGTAGGTGGACGTTCAGCCATTGAGGATGGCCCCAGTGATTTTGCCTGCTGGTATTCATGATCTTCTGTAGTTCCCCTCCCACATGAACTAGGTCTGACTGAGCACCGAGTAGAATATTGCAGAAATGATGGTGAATGACTTTCAAAGGTGGGTCCTAAGAGACATTGTAGCTTCCACCCTTCTTTTTCTGGGATCACGTGCTGGAGGAGGGAGGCGGGAAGCCAGTAGCCATGCTGTTAGGAGACTCACGTAGCCCGTGGACAGACTCCTAGTGAGGAACTAAGGCCTTTTGTGAACAAGTACTTGCGGTGAATATCTTGGGAGTGGATTCTCCAGCACCAGCTACCCTTCAGATGACTCCAGCCTCATACCCAGGCTTGAAATCTCCCAAGAGACCTCAAGCCAGAACTATGCATTGAATTGGCTTCTACCTTTTGGACCGATAGAAAACATGAGATGATGTTTATTATTGCTTAAAGCTGTTAAATTTTGGGGTCATTAGTTACATAGTGATAGATAACTAATATAAACTTTTAGGTTCCAAAGCACAGCTTTTTCCATGACGTATTTTTTAAAAAATTGGTTTGGATTATGAGGATGGATATTGTGGACGAAGTAGGAATTTGGGAGTTCAGAATGTCCTGGTTATGTGATTAAAAAAAAAAAGCTTTGAAATATCTGTTTGGGCTTCTAGATCCTGAGAGAGAAGGAGGCATGTCACCTAGTGGTGAAGCTGACCTCTCAGAATCAGGAGGGTTTCTTCATTTTGTCACTACCCAGGGAAAGCTGAGTTGATGCGAAGAAAATTAGAGGTTAAGTTGTGTGCTTCTGCTAACTAGCAGACTTGGGGGCTGGATTTGGGGAAGAAAAGTGATAGAGATTGCATCCTAGCAGGTCAAGCTTCTGCCCCTTCCCTTCAACTAGGCCATTCTCTCCCCCGCCTTCCTCCCAACTCCTCCTCCCCCATCTTCCCTTTGGTCACAAGCTGATCGAAGCAGCCCCTTCCTTTCCTGCTCTTCTCAAACCCCTTTTCCTTATGATGCTCTTTTCCGTTTTTATAACATACATATATACGTGTGCATTTAGGGACATAAAAGAGAAAAACCCCCCACCTTTTTCTGAGAACTGTCTCCTTTTGCAAACTCGTGGTATTTGTTCTCTCCATAACGTTCACATTTGGTCTTGGATCAGAGAGGTGAGGCACTGTGCCTGGTGACCTAATCAGGCCAGAACCATCCAGCCATGGTTATCCCAGAATGCAAGCACTTTAAGAACCTTCCCAGTACATCTGGTGCAACCGTGTTCATTTGGCATGTGGCACATTTGAAGCACAAAGAGCTCAAGTTGCTATTGACACTCATTAGTGGAAACCTTACAAGGAGGCCTCTCTTCCAGAGTTGGATAAGTCCTTTTATTTATTTATTTTTTATTTTAATTTTTAAATATATTTTATTGATTTTTTACAGAGAGGAAGGGAGAGAGATAGAGAGCTAGAAACGTCGATGAGAGAGAATCATCGATCAGCTACCTCTTGCACACCCCCTACTGGGGATGTGCCCGCAACCCAGGTACATGCCCTTGACCGGAATCGAACCTGGGACCTTCCAGTCCGCAGATCGACGTTCTACCACTGAGCCAAACCGATTTCGGCTGGATAAGTCCTTTTGGAAGGTCCATCCATTCTGATGAACAGGATAGGCGGAGTAATTGGCTGGGGGCCTCCAGGTTTTTACGAAAGGGCAGAAGCACCAGGAAGAGCCCCATAACCCAGGCCAAACCCTTCCTAAATTGTAAACTGACCCTCAGTGGGGGGAGGGGGGAGTTAAAGGAAAGGTTGCTGGCCCTAGCTGGTTTGGTTCAGTGGTTAGAGCATAGGCCTGCGGACTGAAGGATCTCGGTTCCACTCCAGTTTGGGCACACGCGGGAGGCGGATGTGAGTGTGCCTCTCTCACATTTACATTTCTTTCTCTCTCTCTCTCTCTCTCTCTCTCTCTCTCTCTCTCTCTCTCTCTCTCTCTCTCTCTCTCTCTCTCTCTCTCTCTCTCGTCTCCGCCCCTCCCTTCCACTCTCTAAAAATCAATGGATCGGGTGAGGATTAGCAACAACAGCGACTCTAAAAACCCACTTTAAGCCTCATTTCTTGTCCCCAGATCCTGCTACATGGTAGGCATAAAAAACAAAACAAAAACCAAACACAAAAAAACGTTTGTGAAATGAATGAACCAACTTCCCTCCTTAGCCCTTCCCGCCTCCCAACCCCCCTCATCCTCTCCTCTAGGGACTGCTGTAGCTTGTGAGCTCCCACATCCGGCTTTTTGGCCTCTCATCTCCGCAGACAGTGACCCCGTGCCCGGATCAGGACCAGGGCGCGCCCCGCTTTTGGAGGGACAGTCCTGATTTTTTTAAATATATTTTATTGATTTTCCACAGGGAGGAAGGAAGGGGGATAGAGAGCTAGAAACGCTGATGAGAGAAAAACAACCTCGACCAGCTGCCTCCTGCACACACACACACACACACACACCCTTGCCGGGGATGTGCCCGCAACCAAGGTACATGCCCTTGACAGGAATCGAACCTGGGACCCCTCAGTCCGCAGACCGGCGCTCTATATCCATTGAGCCAAACCGGGTTTCGGCGGGACAGTCCTGATGTTCAACAATTTTTCCCCGCGTCCCGCGGGGTGTTTTTAAAAAAAGTCCCGATTTTTTTTTTTTTAATCGGACTTTTTTCTAAAACGCCGCGCCGGACGCGGGGAAAAATCATTGCAAATCGAGACTGTCCGGCCCAAAGCGGGACGATCTGGTCACCTGGTCCCTGGGAAGGGCGCCCGAGCTCCCGGATGGCCGGGGCTGGCTCGGGGAACCCCAGGGGCTGCGGGGGGCTGTGCAGCGGGGACGCAGGGCCACCCCGCGGCCCCGGGAGGGCGGGCGCCGGGGCGGGTCCCGGGTCCGGGGCGGGCCCCGCGGGGTCAGGTGACCGCGGCGGCGGCGGCGGCGGAGGGTGTGGGACGCGGGGAGGTGGCTGCACAGGCTGGGCTGTCCCGGGAGCTCGGCCGCGGCCATGGGGGGCCTGAAGGACGAGCTGCTCAAGACCATCTGGCACGCGTTCACCGCGCTGGACCTGGACCACAGCGGCAAGGTGTCCAAGTCGCAGCTCAAGGTGGGCGCCCCGCCGCACCCCGCCTGTGGAAGGGCGCCGTGGGGATGGCCCCGGGAGGGGCGGGCGGGCGGCTCCGCCTGGGTTCCCACTTGCCCGCGGGCAGGTGCGCGGCGCTAGTCCCCGCTGGGCTCCCGGGGGGCCGGGGGCGGGGGATCGGAGGTGGGGGGGGGTGGATCTCGAAGCGGCGATCTCGCTGCTCTGGTGGCGCGGGAGGCCCCCCCAAAGTTTCAGACTCGTAGAGGGCGTGGGAAGCCCCCGTGGTGGAGCTGCCCCGGACTTACCCCTGAGTCTGGGGTAAAGAGGAGGGGGCGCAGGGGCTTCACCGCGGGGCCGCCCTCCACCTGGCCGGCTGCACCCGGGGTAACGGGGCGCTTCAGAGAAGGCAGAAGTGCCCCCGATCCCGACCTCCTCCTCCTCCTCCTCCAACTCCAACAACGGGGGCATTTGGCGATGTGGGGTGCTGTGTGGTTTGCAGGGAAGGACCCCCGCCCAGCGCCCTCGGGTCTGGACCTGCTCGCGGGTGCGCGGTGTCCCCCAGGGAATTAGCCCCCGGGGCGGAGCGCCCTGCAGGGCCACTGCTCCTGCAGACCCTGCACCGTGACCGCCCAGTCTCCCCCCGTTCGGAGAGGGTGTAAGGTAGGAATAAAGGAATGCCTGTACACCGAGGAACCCCAAGCCGGGGAGGCGGCGCCCAGCCAGGAGGGTTTGGCAGCGCCCTGAGGGTGTAAAATATGGAAACAGACAAGGAGAGCCATTCACGGGCGTTTTCAGATACACACATGTTGGATCTGAAGGTCGGGTTTGCTTAGCCTCTTTCTGGAATTCATTTCTGAAGGTTGGGTTTTTTGCTCTGTGTGTTTGGGGCAGCCGTCAGGAGGTTCTGATGAGTAGTGGCTTTTGTGCCAATAGGAGTTAGCATTCTCTCCGGGTTTCTTTTTGCATACTCTTTTTTTCCTTCTTCTTCTCATCTATAAAATCATACTCTGAAAGATCCACGGAAGTCTGGGAGGGTCCGCAGAAATCATCCACCTAATCTTTATTTTACTTGCTTTCTTAACACAGTAAAATGGACATTTTTGGTGCATGGTTCTGTGAGTTTTAACAGGTTTGTTTAACCACCACCAAAATCAGATGCCCATCAGACCTCTCCTCCCAAGACGCTCCTTGGGGCTGCCCCACTCCTCCACTGTGGGCAGCCAGTGATCGTTCTTCATGGCTGTGACTTTGTCTTTCCCACAGCGTCATATAAATGGAGCTGTGCACGTATGTAGCCTTTTGACATTGGCTTTTGCTTTTTACAAAATATTTTTATTGATTTTTTGAAAGGGAGCAAGGGAGTGGGAGAGAAACATTGATGTGAGAGCAGAACATCCATTGGCTGCCTCCTGCATCCTGAGGCTTGAGTAGGCAACCCAGAATGAACCAGTAATCTGGCAGTGCAGGGAGGACACCCAACCAACTGAGCCACACTGGCCAGATGGACACTGGCTCCTTTTTCTTAAAAAAACAAACAAAAACCACACCATTTAAAAAATTGATTTATAGAGCGAGGAAGGGAGAAGGAACGAGAGAAAGTGACATTGATGAGAGAGAATCATTGATTGCCTGCCTCCTGCATGCCCCCTACTGGGGACTGAGAGCCTGCAAGCTGGCCATGTGCCCTGCCTGGGAATTGAACCATGACCTCCTGGTCATAGGCTGACTCTCAACCGCTGAGCCACGCTTGCTGGGCCCTTCCTTCTTTTAGATTATTTGAATATATTTTAATATTTCATCTTATTTTTTTATTTATTGATTTTAGAGAGAGACAGAGAGAAAGAGGAATATAATTTTTGTCGTTCCACTTATTAATGCATTCTTTGGTTGATTCTTGTATGTGTCTTGGCGTATCCGGACAACCCTTAACCAACTGAGATACCTGGCCAGGGTTTAGGATTCCATTTTAATACTGAATTGTTTACTATATTTATTTGTATAGTTTTTATTTTTTTAAAATATATTTTATTGATTTTTTTTTTTTTACAGAGAGGAAGGGAGAGAGATAGAGAGCTAGAAATGTCAATGAGAGAGTAACATCGACCAGCTGCCTCTTGCACACCCCCTACCGGGGATGTGCCCGCAACCAATGTACATGCCCTTGACTGGAATCGAGCCTAGGACTTTTCAATCCGCAGGCCGACGCTCTACCACTGAGCCAAACTGGTTTTGGCTATTTGTATAGTTTTTAAAATAATTGTGCTAAGGATTATAATGTACGTATCTAACTTTTTACAGTCTATTTAGAATTAATATTTTACCACTTTAAGAGGAAGGTAAAAACCTTATCCCCACATAGGCCGTTTTTACCTCCCTGCTTTATTTGTTGTTGTCATATTGATTAATTTTCACACATTGAAAACCCCTTCAAACAATGCTAAACATTTTCAACCATTGTTTTTATTTTAAACATCTTTCAAGAGAAGAATAGCATCTTTCCTCCCAGACCCTCCCAGATTCCTTCTTAATTTTATAGATAAGATAGGTGAAGCTTCTGAGATGCTTGGTGACTCACCCAAAGTCATAGCTGTAAGTACAGTAGTAGCTAAATTTAGAACCAAGATTTTCAAACTCTTCTTCATTTTTCCCCTCTCCCAGTTGATTGCACAGGAGATATTTCCTGTTACTTTGTTAGGCTCCATAATTGTCCCGGTGGCTGCTATTAGAAGTGTTCAGATTATTCTTGACAGCAGGATTGGCAGGAAGTAGTCAAATCCTGGTTCATAGTTTTCATCCACAAGATGCTGATAATGTGACTGTGCCATTATATTTTTCCTCTTTCTGTCTACTTCACCGAGAGACTTTGGTATTGATCTAGTTCTGTTCGTCTTGCCAATGTTCCTGGAATTGAAAATTGAAAAAGAACAACAACTTTTACTTATGTCTTTATTTGCTTTGACTGTGACATTTGATGTTCCTCAGTGTATTGGCTAGGCCTAGGGTTTTTGCCTTAATTTGTTCGTTCATTCTTTTGTTCATACAACCTTTTGGGTGCTTACTCTGTGTAAGGTACCAGGATAATTTCATAAAACGATTAGTATTTGTGAGCTCTTCCTAGTCAGTATCTCCTGGGAGGAAATATATTAGGGCCTCTCCCAACCCCCATCCGCGGTTCAACTTTTCACGGTTTCGCTTTCCATTATTTCAGTTACCAGGAGTCAACCATTGTCCAAAAACAGTACATTAAAAATTCTAGAAATAAACAACTCACGTTTTAAGTTGCCCGCCGTTCTCAGTAGTGTGATGAAATATGACTGATGTCATGTCTCTCCCACAGACCCCATCCAACCCAGTTCCTCCCCACACCATCCATCCCAGTCCTGCTCCGGACGTGAATCTTTTGTTTGTCCGGTATATTCACTCCATATACCCTGTTAGTTCACTTAGGAGCCATCTTGATTATCAGATCAGTTATTGAGAGAGACAACATTCACAGAACTTTTATTACAGTATTGTTGAAATTGTTCTGTTTTATTATTAGTCATTATTAGTTCTATCTTATTATTATATTTTATTATTAACATCTCTTACTGTGCCTAGTTTATAAATTAAACTTTATCATGGGTATGTTCGTATAGAGAAAAACATAGTGTACATAGAGTTTGGTATATTCATGGCTTCTGGCATCCACTGGGGGTTTTGGAACATATCTGCTAATTATAGGGACTCTTGTAATTGTTTCATAAAATAGCAGACTGAAAATTACATATCCAAAATAATATTACATATGCAGTTGAACATTTTGGAAAAACTATGGGCATTCTAAAATATTTTGACATTTGTCAATTTGTGACACAATGAATGGATACATTCACTAATTATTTAATGAACACTTAATGTGCTAGATACTGTGCCCAATGCTAATAGTAAAGGTGGAGGAAAAATAAACAAATATGAGTCTTTGCCTTCAAAGAGTTTAAATTTGGTAGGGAAATAAAGAAAATGATCAACCATTAGAGAAGGCGAGATATCTATAGATATAGGTAGGTATATATCAGACAATTACTGTTTCTTTAAGAAATGTAAAGTCTGAGAGATAAGAAATACAGAAATATTGCCCTGATTTTTGTTGTTGTTGATATTGTTAATTCTCACCAGAGGATATTTTTCCATTGATTTTTTTTTTTTTTTTTTTTTTTTTTTTTTTTTTTAGAGTGAGTGGAAGGGAGAGGGTGAGGGTGAGTCAGAGAGAGAAACATTGATGTGAGAGAGACACTTCAATTGGTTTTCTCCTGCACGTACCCCATCCAGGGCCGGGAACCTGCAATTAATTTATGTGCCCCTGACTGAAATCAAACCTGAGACCCTCCAGTCCGCAGGTCAACACTCTATCCACTGAGCCAGATCAGCTAGGGCGAGACAGCTAAAGCTCCTGCCCTCGCTGGTTTTCTATATCATTTTTGTTTTTGAGGTCTTTGATGGCTGGATATTTAACTGGACATGATGGGAAGTGTGAGGCTGTTGGTACAGGATCTGGTGGTTGAAACTTGGAAAAAGGAGAGAAAAGATTCATCAATGTCCTTGGGCAATGGTTATAGTAGGTGGTGAGAGGAAGAGTAGAAGATAGGGGACCAGAACCAGAAATAAGAACACTTTATTATTATAATTACTAAGGCCCGGTTCACAAATTCGTGCATGGATGGGGTCTGGCTGGCCTGTCCGGATGTGGGTATTATACATTGGGCCGGGCTGGGAGAGGAGGGGCCATGGGGGATTGGCTGGCCAGCCCTGCCCCCATCAGGGTGTTGGAGGCTGATTGGAGGCGGGGCCAGCTGAGGGGAGGGGTTGTGGGAGGTTGACTAGCCAACCCTGCTCCTGATCAGGGTATTGGGGGCCAATCAGGGAAGGGGGGTAGGGGGAGCCTGGGTTGGCCTCTGGGAGGGCCATTCGGGGCCTGGATCAGGCTGGTTGGCTGCTGCAGTGTGAGTCATAGCCACTGGTTGTTCTAGTTATTCTGGTCGTTG